CTTCCATTATTTCTTTCAAGTCGCCCCCCAAAATGCCGACGAGTTTCTGAGTGTGGCCGCTCGTCCCAAAAGGAAGTTTTTCGAGGGCGCCCCCACTTCAATCCATGACTGGAAGAACCGTTTTTTCTTCATTCGTTATTCGGATGAGCGGCTTCTTGTAAGATGGAATGGGTATCCCCCGAAGATTACGCCGCCAGAGCTGACCCAAGGATTGCAAAACGCCGTAGATAAGCTAAAGTTGGACGGCATTAAAGGGCTGAAGGATTTCCTGACCATTCAGGCACTCTCCGATGAAAGGATAGGTACCGCCCGTGATCCCCGGATTGGCATTCTCTTGTGTTCATCTTGTGGGCCCGGGCGGTCCATTCCCTAAGGTGAGTGCCTTTGAGATTCGCACTGCCCGGTTCTAATATTCTTGTTTCTTTGTTTCAGGCCTTCCTCCCACTCAGGACCAAATGGATCGCGAAGTCATGAAAGCTCGTCGTGAGGCCAAGGCCAATAGGCAACGAGCGGCGTTGGCGAAGGCTCGCGGGGCCACTCAGTCTTCTGAGGCTAACTCTTCCGACGCATCCCAGGCGGATAAGCGTGTTGCAGACGCCGAGAGACTTCTGATGGCCGAGGTGACCGGGCAGAATTCTGAAGCCCGGCACGTTCAAGATAATCAAGTTCTGAACGTGGATCCGATCGGCTTTGCTGTCCCTGCTAGTGGGGAAAAGGATAAAGGGAAGAAGACGAAGAGGCAACGCGTCGAGCCCTCTAGCCCCAAACCTACTGACACCGTGGTGCCCTCCGCTGTCCATCCGATTTCCGAGATTTGGAAGGATATGGCCCTTCAGGCCGGACTGGAGCTGTCGGACCGTTCTTCCGGCGATTCCGTTGATCATGCCCTGCTCCTGAACCTTGAGGTACGTTCCTCTCATTTCCCTCTTGCCACTTGATCCGCTATCTGTCCCCTCCTGACTCCTTATTTTTTCCTTGTAGGCTGGGCTAAAATTGTTGCAGGCAAGGGCCGCTCGGGAGAAGGATCCCGCTGAACTCAAAAGGAAAGCCGATGCGGCTTTGAAGAAAGAGCGGGAGGCCGTGCAGCTGCGGGAGGCTGCCCAGGCAGAGATAGAAAAAGTCCAGACGGCCTTGGCCCAAGCCAAACAGGAGCTCCAGGCCGTCTGGGACCAGAGCCAACAGGAGAAGCAAGATCTCCTTTCTAAGGTGGCCCTAGCCGAGAAGCATGGGATTTCCTTTGTCCCAGCCGCAGACCCTTCCCCGCGTCCTGAGGGCGGGTCTTCGCCCGATGACGCTCTGACCCTGGTCCTTAACATTGAGGAGTTCAAGAAGACATCCCAGTTCCTCCAGGACACTCATGAATACTGCCGGGGAGCCGCGGGAGAGGTCTTCGAGGCCGAGCTGCATCCTGTGCCAGAAAAGGAGCGTTTATCTCATGGGTGCGACTTTTTACAGAAAACTGCGCTCGGTGGTGAGTGGCTCGCGGATCTTGCTGATGATGCTTTCGCCAAGGGGTACTATGAAGGCGTTAAGGACCTCAAGAGCATCCTTCCTCTGGCCGGCTGCCCCCCCCCCCCCCCCCCCCCAATGTGGAGGACTATACGGAGGGAGCAGAACTCCGATGGGTTATGGGGAAGATTGAACAGGATCAGCGGCGTGTCGAGGCCGTGCAGAGGGGTGAAATTCCTGATCCCCTGACTCCCGAGCGCGTTCTTAACGAGTTCGAAGAGCCGCAACCCTCTGTCCCACGCTCCCCCCTCATGGTTTCCTGGCGTGATTCCGTTTTGTTCCGTCCTTGCTTAGTTGTATGTTCCGGCTAGTAGAACCGAAGAATAAAAACTTCTTTTGCCCTTATTGATTCATGGTCTACTTTACTTATCTGTAACTCCCCTTGTCTGTTCCCTGCATTCTCTAGCGAGGAATGGCTCTTTTCCCTAGATTCTTTCCCTTATTTCATGTAGGGGTCTTCTTCCTTTGCCTTCTTTTATTTTTGGCGAGGAACGGCCCTTTCCCCTTGGATTCTTTCCATTCTTTCGTGTAGGGGTTCTTCTCTTTTGCCTTCTTTGTCCTTTCCTTTTTTTACATACCCCTTCCTTCTCCCTTTTGGGGAATGGAGACGCACGCCTTGTTGCGGGGAAAGGTATCTCCGGCACGTGCCTTCGGTAGCGTGGACCCCGAAGCGTCGCGCTAGCCGCAGGATGTACCAAACACGGTCCGCCACATGTCCTCGCCCAATTCGGGAGAGGGTGGCGATGTCGCCTATAAATATCCTGTTACCAAAGGGGGGATTATCCTGTCTTTTCCCTTGGTCGTTATTCTGCCTAGTTACTTTCTCTCTCTAGACCTCCAATTTTCTTTGTAAGTTTTGTGTCTCTCACTTGTCCGTTGTTAAGACTTCTATTGTCCCTATACAAACTCCCCGCGGCCGTCCAGAAGGTTCATCTGATGATGGTTGCAATTCGGGGGACGACCTTTTGGTCTACCAGCGTGGGATGCCCCCCCAGCCTCCCCGCTTCTCTCTGAACTTCCACCTCGTTCGACGTCAACACCAACGTTTTCTTTCCAATGAGAGGGTTCTGATTCCCCAGCTGCTCCCCCCCCCACGGGGTTGGGATGCACGGTTTCTCCGCCACCCAATGCGGCATTTATCCGGTCATGTGGTCATCCATCTGGACTCTATGGCTGCGGGCTTCCTCTTCCCGTTGTTGCCTTTCCATGTTTCTCTTTTTAGGGGTTTAGGTATCGCCCCGGCACAGCTCGTCCCGAACTCCCACCGGATCCTTGCCGATCTCATTATTCGGTGCCACCATGTGGGGGTTGAGCCTTCCGTGAAATTATTCTTGCATTTCTTCCGGCTTTCCCCGGTTAACCCAACACACTTGTTGGGATTGGAAATTTCTTCTATTCAATATCAAAAATAGAATTACAATAGGAGGAGCAAACTCTCACACTCAACTATTACAAAAACTCAATCCTCACTAATACACTTCTACTCTAAGTGTATTTCACTCTTCACACACACTTTTCTCACTTTCTAAACTGATGATTATGAACAATATGGAGCACTCTATTTATAGGACTAGTTTGGAGACAAGAGGAAATTGCAGTCAAGCTTCTCCATATCTTCTCCCACACTTATTTGTTGGAGAGCTCTTTCCAAGAAGGGGCTTCCATGTTAAAGTGTCTCTTGACACCTTCCAAGAAAGAAGGTGGAAGATCCTTACGGCGAATAGAGCTAGGTTTTTTCGCAATTATCATTAATATAACAAAAACGGCGCCTCTAGGAGAACCAATCAATCTCACCATATATCATCACTGTTCATTAATTGTATCTCTCTGTTTTCTGTATATATATACTCGGATAGACAGAAGAGTTGAGTTTTCCTAATAAGTTAGTGCTCAACTAACATATAGACTTCTTCTTTCGGTAGGATACGTGTTCGCCAATGCAAGCAAAATTGCTCTAGGAGAACCAATCAATCTGAGCATATATCAATAATGTTCATTAATTGTATCTCTCTATTTTCTGTGGCTGAACTTTCTTACTCCTCATCCCATTTTAGTTAGTCAAATTTCACTTTTCAAGTCAATAGCGTCTAACTTTGATCGATTATATGTTTATATAGAGAAAGTATTAATTATATGAAAATGATATGAAAATGTTCTTTGTTTAAAATACTTTTATAAGAGCATAAAATTATTAAATTTTGTGTAAATATATTAGTTTAAATAATTGATCAAAGTTTACCACCTTTGACTTGAAAAGTCAAAGATGACTAAGTAAATTGAGATGGAGGGAGTAATTTTTCTGCCAGACGCTTTTGCCCTTCTAATCCGTGCTTCTCTCCATTCTCCCCTTATGCCCAAGATTTCATAACATTCCCACCTTCTTTTAATTATTACTAGATTTTCACCCGTGCATCTAAAAAACTCAAATGTATGAAAAACATAAAATAAAAATATGAAAACATTATATTTAAAATATATTTTATTAATAAAAAATTTATATGAAAAACAGCTAAAATTACCTGTACAATAACATCAGGACGGAGCTCACTATAATGATTTAAATAATGATCATGTCCTCTAACAATGCACAATTTTGACGTAGTCTAAACACCGTTTTCATATCCACGAATGTCATATTTAGGTTTTTAGACTCCTTAGCACTACAAATGGTCTTAGATCATATCGTGAAAGTGTGGGGTCTTAATTAGGTATTTATGATGTTTTTATTTGAAGTGATTTTTTCTATATTAGTGAGTTTTGTAGTTTGATCTAGTTAAATATGATCCTGTTTTTGAACATTTTTTGTACAAATTATTTACACCAATATTAATGATTTTTTTAAATTAAGGGTGATCCCGATTAAAAAAATAGGGTGAGCCGGGGCATGGTATAACCTCTATTCTTCCTTGGTCTAGATTGATATGTTTTATGTCTATACTCCATCGTCTCGCTAAGATTGTCCCATTTTTCTTGTAGCTAAATCTCACTAAGATTGACTTATACCAAAGTTGATAAAGTTTGTGTGACTCTAAATTATTTTTAATTTATTCATACTTTATCAATTCAATATCAACCATATAAACTCACCTTTCTTAAAAACTGTGTCAACTCCTCATGTTCCAATGTTAGTGGGACGGAGGTAGTATATGTGATGGACTTTCTCTATATTATATGTTTATATAGAGAAAGTATTAATAATATGAAAATTATATGAAAATCTTCTTTGTTTAAAATACTTTCATAAGAGCATAAAATTATTAAATTTTGTGTAAATATATTAGTTTAAATAATTGATCAAAGTTTACCACTTTTGACTTGAAAAGTCAAAGATGACTAAGTAAATTGAGATGGAGGGAGTAATTTTTCCGCCAGCCGCTTTTTCCCTTCTCATCCGTGCTTCTCTCCATTCTCCCACCTTCTTTTAATTATTATTTATAGAAAAATTGAGAGAAAAGATTTCAATGTAAAAAAAACTTTCGTTTCCAAGAAAATGACAAGAGAGTTTCTTAGTGAAGATCGTCACAAATTTCAATCCAATATCTCTTTGACTAGAGATGAAGATTTATAGTGTACAGCTTATTTGAATCGCATCTGATCCGATTGTGTTCAATTTCAATCCCACTTTAACAGATCCTACATCTTACTAATTTATCGGTTTTGATGACTAATTTATGTGGAGTTTGGTGAATATATTGTTCTAGGCCAGACCTGTGTTTCGTTTGATCCCATTTAGGAGCACAGAATTGGTTATATTCGTTTGAAAGAATGGCAAAAAAATTACCAAGGTTTCCTGCCAAAGCCAAGTCAAGCATCGACCCCTCTTTTCAAAACTCCGTCTGCATCCATCTCTTCTCAAACTCTTCAAAGCACAAAGCTGCAACCATCTCACCGCAGAACCCCCTTCCTGTCAGCAAGAATCTCAAACTCTCTTCGCATAAATTCACTTCCGCACCGCCTCCGTCGTTTGGCTGTTGTCTCCGTTGTCTGGTCACATCTCTGTTTTCTAGTCATTGCCTCTGCCTCGAGGTCGTCGCCCCAACCTCTATGTTGCCGCCCATTTCTCTACTTCTTTAATTTCTGTCCGATTAGAGGTGAATGAGATGGTGACAATGAGCATCAGGAGTAGAAATGGATGCAAATTCAGATCTTTGGCGATAGAAACAATTAGCTTCAAATCTGTGGCGGTGGCTATAGAGCTAGGCTGGTCAGGATTGTGATGGCTACCATGTCTGGCTAGGTTGGGCGGGCTTTGGTTCTTAGGTTGGACAGTGAAATCCGCTAGGGTATGATTAATCGGGACTTCAACGGGGCTAGGGGCCAGTAGCGGCAGCCAGGGCTACATAGGATTGCAACGGAGCTTAGGGGGTTGAGAGGCTAGGGAGGGACATTGTTGTGAGAATAATGGAAAAGTTACTCCCTAAGGAGTCCTGGTAGATATATTTATAATAAAGAGAGTTTAATGTCAAGTACAATACTAAGCCTCTAATAATTCTATTACACCCCCTCAAACTGTGTGGGAGATACAACGCACAGGTTGTCTTTTAAAAAATGAAAACGTTGACTAGAGAGACTTTTAGTGAAAATATCTGTCAGCTGTAGATGAGTAGGAACATGCTTAACAATCAAATCTCCATGAGCAACCCATTCGCGAATAAAATGATAATCAATCTGAATATGTTTACTACGAGCATGCTGTACCGGATTTGCAGTCAAGTAGGAAGTAGAGATATTATCACATAATAAATGTACCGGCTCTGTGATTGGCCACCCAAGTTCGAACAGTACGGAGCGGATATGTAGTGTGTCTTGTACTGTGTAAGCAATGGCCCTATATTCTGCTTATGTGGAGGACTTGGAAACAGTAGGTTGCTTCTTAGTCTTCCAAGAAACCAAATTAGGACCCAAAAATACAGCAAAACCTGTTGTGGACCGAGAACGATCAGGACAACCTGCCCAATCAGCATCAGAGTAAGCAACAACACAAGTTGGCCGAGAAGACTGTTGAAGCCATAGTCCATGATCTCATGTTCCCTGCAAGTACCCGAAAAATCTTTTGACTGCAAAAAGATGAGTGGTACGAGGAGCATGCATGAACTGAGACACTAAGTGTACTGCATAAGTAATATCTGGCCGTGTCAAAGTTAAATATTGTAATGCACCAACCATGCTGCGATACTCAGTAGAATCAGACAATAAGTCACCATCAGAAAGAGACAAAGTGGTACGGGAAGCTAACGGGGTGCGAACAGGCTTTACAGTATGAAGATGAAAACGGGCTAGAACGAATAGCCTCAACCCCCAGGAAATAATGGAGATTACCCAAGTCTTTCATAGCAAAATGTTTAGAGATAATTGAAATAAATTGGTTAACAGATGACTCAGAATTGCCAGTAATAATAATATCGTCCACATATAGTAATAAATAAATAATAGTATTATTCTGATGGTAAATGAACAAAGAATTGTCAGATTTGCTGCAGGAGAAATTATGTTGTAGAAGAAAACTACTAAATCTATGAAACCAGGCCCGTGGAGCTTGCTTAAGGCCATAAATGGCCTTGCGCAGACTCATAATAGAATTATTAGAGGCTTAGTATTGTAGAGAGAGAGAGGATCGGAAATTAATGTGCTCTGATACCATGTGAGAATAATGGAAAGGTTACTCCCTAAGTGTTAGGAATATTTTATGGTGTCCAATATAATTAAATATCTTTGTATTTGTGTAGTTATGAATTAAACGTGTAATACGGGCCACAAATGTGTATCAGCCCGTGGGCTTCCTTGTAACCCGTAAGTTAGCCAACTTCTCCTATAAAAGGAGGCTAACTTACGGGAACCAAAAGAGATAGAGAGAGGCTTAGAGACGCAGAGGCGAGATAGAGAGAAATTAGGGTTGCCGCTGCTCTCCATCTCCAGGGAGAGTAGCGGCAGGTTCATACGGTATACCAGATTCGCGTTGTATCTTGTCGATTTCTTCCTATCTGCTTCTTTATCATTGTTATGGTTGTATGATTGTTAGTATTTTGGGATTAACATTTGGTATCAGAGCCGAGGCGTGAAACAGGTTGGATCTGTCTGCGATTTTTTTGGATCTAACGAAGAACTGCTCTGTTTTTTCTTCTGTTTTTCTATATGTAGAGGTTTGCTCCTGTAATCTCGTTTGTGAACGAAATTTTGAAAAAATCATATTGTTGGACTCGCCTTTGAAAACCGATTCAGCAGCATACCTCTTTTTTCGTTTTCTGCAATTTTTATATTTCGAAGATCTCTGCATTGAGATCTCGAAATCCTTATTTTTCACTGCTGCAGAAACGTTTTTGGCTTGAAACTGATACAGGAGAATCTCGACTTACAGGGCTATTCAGAACAGGTTTCAGATTTTCAAAAATCGATGTTTTCGTTTTGCAGGATCTCGACATTTAGGGACTCGATTTTCTCTTCTCGACATCTTGATCTCGAGATTTGCATCTCGACATCTTGATCTCGAGATTTGAATCTCGACATCTTGATCTCGAGATTTGCATCTCGACATCTTGATCTCGAGATTTGAATCTCGAAATTTTGATCTCGAGATTTGCATCTCGACATCTTGATCTCGAGATTTGAATCTCGATATCTTGATGTCGAGATTTGCATCTCGACATCTTGATCTCGAGATTTGAATCTCGATATCATGATCTCGAGATTTGAATCTCGAAATCAAGATCTCGAGATTTGAATCTCAAATCAAGATCTCGAGATTTGTAATCTCGAGTTTTGGTATTTCGAGTTTAGGAATTTCGAGTTTTGGGATTTCGACATTTGGGATCTCGATGTTTTGGATCTCGACATTCTGAAGATTTCGAGATTTTCAAAATTTCTCGATGTTTTGAATCTTTCAAAGTTTGCAGTTTCTTGGAACTCATAATTCGAATCTTGACATCCTTTGCAGTTCATCGAAGCTTTACATTATAAGGATCTCTAAATGATTCCCTGCTTATATAAATGTTTCAGGAGTTTTCGATGTTCTGATGTTTTTCAAACAGCAAGTTTTCGAGATTATGAGGTTTTCGAAACTCCAAAGTTTTCGATGTTCAAACATTTTGAAATTCTGCAGATTTCGATATTCTGAGGTTTGTTTTGCATGTGGATTTCGCCATTATTCTTCGAGGCAACCTCGAGATTGTAATCTCGAGATTTAAACCTTGAGATTAGGATTTCGAAGTATTGCCTTAGAATTTTGTTTAAAATCCACTTGCTCTCGACATTCATCATCGAGAACCTCAACTTCGAAGAAATTCCTCAAAAACTCAAAATTAGAGATTTTCTGCGACACCGCACTGTTTTGGCCATAACTTTTGACTCGGTGATCCGATTTGAGCAAACTTTTTGTTGTTGGAAAGCTAACGAAAAGATCTACATTATTTCTCGGGCTACGCCCCAGAACCCATTCTCACGCGCCCTCACTCGCAGCCCTTGAGGCTCAAAACGTTAGTTTTTCGACAAACATTGTAAATCACCGATGTCGAGGTCAAAACTTAGGCAAATCTGTTCAAATTCTTTCATTGTCAACCCTGAGGTCAAAGCTTTTCTAAACTTCAATGTAAAGGTCTGAAAATCGTAGATAATTCAATCAACCTCGCGTCAACGGTCATCTTACAACAATCAACAATCAACTGCTGAAGCCTCCCCTGACTCATCAACATTGTGTGATCATCAATATGCTGAAATTCTACATGGTGAGCTCAGGGAAACCGTCATGTGTGGTACATGTTCAGATTGCTCCACACACATGGCGGGTATGACAAGCTGTGAGCACTCAATCCTTGCACATTCTGAGGGGGAGTTTCAGTTAATTCCTCCTGGCGCCTTACACCGACAAAGCAAGGAATCTCTCAAAGGATGCAACATTTTAGGGGGAGTGTTCAATGTTATCCTTCCTGGAGCCTAACAATGACAAAGCATACTGAGTACTCCAGTTGAGGGGGAGTACAGAGAGAAAATGAAGAAAGCAATGAGAGAACATGTCCCTATGGCTTAGTAAACCCAACTAAGCCTACCCAAAGGACAAAGTCGAGCGTAAGTGCGTAAGTGAGCGAGTGAGTGAACATTATGAGCATTAGGAAGCAGAAGGCTCGAGTGAGAAGGAAACAATTATCAATGATGAGTCTGCTACCTCAATTGCCTGCTATGAATTGACCATTTGCTCCTAGCCACTAAAATACTCTGGACTATCCCCATAGGTTCAGGACTGAATTTATTCAGATCCCGGGTAGAAGTCGCTGCATTTTGTCCAAACGGCGCATGCACAACCCTACCCTAGACCACTCACTTGTCTCCCAACAGACAGGTGTTTAATCATACTTCACGGGGAACCGCATCTCTCATTACTACCTCCTTACGAGGCAAGTAATACTGACTACAGTGGCCTCAGCCCCATGCCACTGAACTTTCATTGATCACGTCGTGTCTAGTTACTCACTCCCAAATGTTTTGAAATTTTCTAGGACACAGACACACTTTTAGAGTCAGTTGCAGGTCTTCATGACCCGCGAGAACTTCCATAGGGCTCATATATTACAGATGTAGACCAATAATTGGAAGGAAGTCCTGCTGTTGCAACATAAGAATCACCAACATTTTCAGGCCATTGCTAAAGAGTTTATCTCTATAGTGATGATAACGGGCGTCTTCACGACCCCGGGGGGCTACGTTATCTTCTTTAGATTCTGCTTGTTTTCCCTGTTTTATTTCCGCAGAATAAAAGAATAAAGGCATGACGCCCCGAGTCATCGGATCGTCATGAGGGGGAGAGTGGTCCACATGCTGTTAACTGTCTAAAAATCATTCTGGGACACTTCTCTCCTCCAACACTCTCTCTACTATCTCCGAAACTCAAATGGTCAGCTACACTCACAAATCAACCATCATTATGTTCCGTTGTGCCACCGACAAGTTCTCCTCAAATGCATTCATTCCAAATAGTCAAAAAGACTACATTGTGGAGGAGACAGAGGTCAAATACTAGTGTCCTGAAGATGAATTCCATGGGCGTCTCCTATTCTCCAAAGAATATTCATTCTAGAGGCGTCACCGGACTTCATCCAAGCTGATCAAGAGCAACTTCTGGAAGGCAAGGACTACATGCAAGATACTGAAGGTTCCTCAACCCCCGGCATCAAAGATCAAATTGTCAAGAAGACATCAAAGGGGAGATTGCAAGGATTTCTTCAGATAGCCTTCCTCAGAAGTCAAGTTCAAAGACAAAGGAAGCTCAATAACAACAAAGACAAAGATATATGTGCAGCAATGCTGATTCAACACGATTGAACACCAAGGGAGGGATTGTTAGGAATATTTTATGGTGTCCAATATAATTAAATATCTTTGTATTTGTGTAGTTATGAATTAAACGTGTAATACGGGCCACAAATGTGTATCAGCCCGTGGGCTTCCTTGTAACCCGTAAGTTAGCCAACTTCTCCTATAAAAGGAGGCTAACTTACGGGAACCAAAAGAGATAGAGAGAGGCTTAGAGACGCAGAGGCGAGATAGAGAGAAATTAGGGTTGTCGCTGCTCTCCTTCTCCAGGGAGAGTAGCGGCAGGTTCATACGTGTTGGGATATTGACCTAGAGGCCCAATACCCAGATCGGGAAGGCCCAAGATATCCGGCCCAAGCAACGGGCCCATCACTCTGTGATGAATAGATCTAGTAAGAAGACATACCGAATGGAGTTCGGCCCAAATAAAGATTGACCCAGTAAGAAGACATACCGAACGAGGTTCGGGCTATATATCATACTTGGGCCAATTTGACAGCATCTTCAGTGCAGCCCAACATCCCGTTCGAGCAGCGGCCAACCAGCAAGTGGCCAGGTGCAATTAATGTCAGACTATGACATCAGCAAGTGGAAGCATGGATGACCAAGTCGGTGGAACAACGGCCAATCAGCATGAGGCAACCCATGCTCTCCATTAGTATAAATAGAAGGTTTCAAATCATTGTAAGGGTTAGCATTTCAATACTCAAGCTCTAGAATAGCATCATTTGCTCTTATTTCTTGTATTAAAGCATAGTTTCCGACTTACCGATCGGGAAATTCCTTGTAATCAGATTGGTTAATTAATACAAGTGAGCTTTCGAGTTTTAGTTAGTTCAGATCTTATATTTCTTTACACACTTTGATTCTGGGCCATTCCTGATATATCCAAAGTTCGTGTTGGGCTTTCGGATCTACGGGATTTACCCTCAACATTGGCGCCGTCTGTGGGAAACTTGCAAAAAGTTTCACTTTCTAAACATCCAAAAAACCTCTAT